GTTGAGGAGACGATAGACACGGTCCCACAGATTTTCATCCTGAATCCGCTCCACCCTCTTCCTAAACCACCCATCCTAGCGTTCCCTATCATTCTTTCATACCTATTCTTTTCTCTCTTGTACTTAACTATACTTCTATTCCTTGCATCCTCGTCTCTGATTCCTTGCGCTTCTCTTCTCATCATCGTCGAATACCTATGCGAGCTTTCCACTCCACGCTCCTCCGATCGTCGTTTTTTCTCCTAGGCACATGCCTCGTGCACGCTTCCCTCATTCTTCCTTGCAGCATAACCGCTCCTTGCTCAATCTCTTCCATCATTCCAAGCCTCCCTGGACTGTAGTTCTGCAAATCTCGGTCCATACTCGCCCAGTTGGCTCCTCTAATATTCGTTACCATAACTTTCCTCACCTTTGGTAGCCCCGTTGAGCAAAACTCAATCATCCGATAGTCCAGACTCACCATTCCCAGCCTCATCAATCTCGGGAAGAGCGTCGCACTCACCTCTAGAACTTTTTCTCTTTCCAGGTATTCACTCTGCATTCCTTTCTTTCACGCACAGTCATCCGTTCCATTCCCAACTGCGTGAGACCCTCACTCAGCGCTGAGTTCTGCTCAAACAGGAGTTGGATCAGTTCCTGATCCCCGTAGCCTTTTTCAACTCCAGTAAGAAGGACGTGGGGATTAGGCTCGTGACTTTTTTTAACGTTCACCCCACTTTCATCTTGGAGCACGTCCCGTATCTTCTGTTGTGCATCTTCATTCTTTCCTTTCACTACTACAACCTCGGATCGATTGCGGTTAATGGCCTTCACATAACTCATACACCCCCCGTTTCGTAGTCGCTCGCTTACAATTCTCACGGCTTTGACTACAATGATCTCCTCCTCCAACGGGGGAGCTGCCCATTAATCTCTTCAAGTATCCTCTTCATTGCTCTCCATTATTCCCCATTTAATTCATCCAGCCTACCATACCTTCCAACGTTACTGTTAGTGCTGTCCATTACCTTTATCTCTCTTGTTTCCAGTTCAGTTATTATTTTACCTATGCGTCCACCCATTTGTTGCAACCTGCCACTCACTGCAGTTAGCTCCTTCTTGTTATACTTGACTTTACTTCCAGAAAATCTGGTGGTAGCCCGGTGATTGTTTGCCACCAGCACCCCTATCCTGTCAGACATATCAGACGGCATGTAGTGTGTGTTCCTGTTATCTAGAAAACGCTTGAACCCTGCCCCGTTTTCAAAGTCTTTATCTCCCATTCCAGTCTACTTTTCTCCACCTATATGAATTGTCCTGTTTAGTTTTTCCCTCAGTTGCTCGATTCTTTCACCAGATTGATTTGAAATATTCTTGACCGTCTGTTCCATTACAGTTTTCGCCTCCTGGATCGCATTGTTAAGCATTTTCTGTTTCCTAGACTCCTAGATTCCGAGAAATAGACTCCCCAGGAGTCTATTTCTATAATTCTCGGAATCTACGAAAACTTCCGACTCATCGCTGGAGAAATCTCCTATACCCAAGGTTTTTTACGCTTTTTAAAATATAGTTTATTCGTAAAATACCAATATATATTCAGCCATATGCAAATACACATTCATTTCGAACAGTTCCAATCGTTATCTTCTTTTTTATAAACTTATGGCCTTATCAGCTCGCCTTTTTGGGAAAGAATTTTTGGCTGTTTGTTCAAACGATTTAAAATATCATCTGTGTTTTATGGATTCCTGATAATTGGAATTATGAATTTCAACAGAAAATGTTTTCCGAAAAGTATGTGTCTATTTTTCATATTCATGGATATGAAGTGTCAATAACTGTGACAAAAAACAATCAATTCACATTTTCTGTATTTCATATTCATTATATGCAGCAAGTCCCGTGGGTTGGGCTGCCTATCGGGCGCGTCCCCTGGTGGCTGGTGAGGTGAACTAAGAATCCCCAGGAGCCTTTGCGAAACATGCCACCGTGGACCAGCCTACCTAAGCTAAGGTGTAAGGAATCGTGCCGACAGCTGGATGGCCGTAGGGTGATATGCGGTTACAAACGATCCCCATGGGGAACTGGGCGAAACCTCATTGTGATCAGCCTACCTCTGGTAATGCGGGGCTCTGCCAGAGGAGACCAACCCTTCCCTTTCCTCGTGGGAACACACATGAATGGAACAAACACAAAAACAGAAACAACAAAAACGAAAACTAATCGCCAAGCTCTACAGAAGTGCTCACCTCAATCTAAGGCGCTTGGAATGAGGCTGGACATAGCAGATCACCTCGTGATGTAATACAAAGGCCAAGGCGTGAGCGCATTTTTGGAGCCGAGGCCAAAAAGAGAAAGAGAGCGGAGGATGCGGGAGTGGCAGCAACTATAAGTGCACCCTCCTCCTCTCCCATCCCACCTCCAACAGCAAGGGCACTTCCTGCGGCGGATGCCGAAAGCTCCGCCTTGAATGAAGGCTGCCACTGTAGGAAAGCTCCCTCACTTGTACACCTCCACGGAGGGAACCCCAAGAAGGTTGAAGAAGCTGCGCAACGACAGTAATGTCGTTGCACCTTCCAAAACCTTCGCGGAGGCCACCGTGAAACACCTCAAGCTTGCCAAAGAGAGTGTGTTCGGCGAGTCTTGGCCTACACCTGCCAATATAAAGGAGATGTCTCCTGGTGACAAATCCACCTTCCTGGAAAGGACAGGATGGACGATGACCTAGGAGGACAACTCCTCGGGAGAATGTACAATGGCTAACATGTGGCCTGAGTGCTGTGGGTCCACACTCACCCTTTCTACTCTACAGATACAGATACAGATGTACCAAGTGTCACTATCACAAATTAATAATTAATACTTGTAAATGTCCTATCGCAGTCTATCCAACTTTGAATCACGTCATTGAAATAAGACTTAAACACGTTCTCAACAGTTCTACCGTATTCCTATAGCTCCTACACACGTCCGTTCTCCTCAACAGTCGAACGGAAAGTGCCCACCTGTCTCGCAAGGAAGAGAAGTCGTCACAACCAGTGCTTGCACTTCACTATATAAGAGGCTCATCGGAAAACATAGGAAGAATTGGATCCAAGTACAACCTCAGAACCTGCTTCAGATCCGAAAACACTATCCGTAGCAGCCTCACGAAAACTAGGCCAACAAACGCAGAATGCGATTCTAAAAATTGCATTTACCAGATACCTTGTGAGTGCGGAGAATCCTATATCGGTGAAACCAAGAGGCCATTGAATGTTCGCATTGCCAAGCACGAGAAACACACACAGGAGAAACCAGCCAATCAGAAATAGCAGAGTATGTTTGGACCCATCAACATAACATCGAGTGGTCCCAAGCTGAGATCATACACAGTTAGGAACATTGGTTTAGGAGGAATTTTAATGGAGCCGCATACATGTTGTCCAACAAAGTATTCAGCCAAGCTGGCGTAGAATTATGCAACATATGGAAACCCATAATCAACGAAAAGTGGCAAACTCCCGCCAAACGGTCATCTTCCACTAAACCGGTGAAGCAGCAAAAGGAAAGCGGAGATAAGTGGAAGTACTCGAATGAAGTAACTTGGCTTGGAATCTCTCAACTTTTCATTTTGATTTTTTGATGTTAATTTTTTGTTCAATTGTATTATTTTTACTTGTATTTTATTTCACTATCATTTCATTTCAGGTTTGTCACTGCCTATGTGAGTTATTATGAGCCTTCATCCTTTGCCAGCTAACGCTTTCGGTCCTGTTGAGAGGCCTTCAATGAAAGCTTTTCATTTCTAAATTTTGTCATACATTTGACACAGTATGGACTTGATTCTCATCCAAATATTAAGTCTTTCTACCCTCAAGACGATACTCTCCTTTTTTTTTTTCAATTGACTTCTCCGCCACAAAACAATTTCTCCTCTTTCTATAAGAGCACTTTTTGTACCTCCTTTCAAAAATTCAATGTTCATTTTCATTTTTTTTTAGGGTTGGAATTTCATTTCGGAAAAAGAATATATGGATTTTTACGGAAATTTGGTGCATTCAGTCACATTCACCTACATTTTCTTCAAAGCTTTTGAACTTCTGTGAACATTTCTCGTCAACACTTTGGTTACTTCAATACACAAATTGAATACGTTGTTATGCAACATATTTTCATTCCTTTCACGGAGCGCACAATACACATTGTATATAAGAATTTTTTCTCCTTTAGATAAATTCGGACGTCTGCGTTTGCTTTGACTGCATTCACTTTTCATATTGCTCACAATTCACAGCACAAAATTAAACTGATTTATAACAATATTTTCCTTGTTTCATCCCGTGTTTGAAAAAATGTCTGGGTTTTTACCTGTGGTATGGTATTTTTCAAAAAAAATCATTATTCATTGTATCATCATAGTATTGAAAAGGGTATTTCCAATTCATTGGCAGGAAGTTTTTTCAATGAATAGAACACGTTGTCCGTTGTTCTATGACCATTTAGCTGCGTGTCTATGATTCAAATAGAAGATGATGATGATACCATCACAATCTAACAACAATGTTTTCGTTTTAACGCAATATCATTTCTGGTAATTTAGCGCCTATTCTTATGGACTTTCAGTATAGTTATTTTGTCTGAATGAATGAAGTTTTTTCAAGCCATGAAAAAGCTATGAACATAAACATAAAAAAAAAATCAAACAAAATTGTTCAGATAAGTCATAAAATGGTAAATCTTGTTCTATAGTTTGGAAATTGGTTTTCAGACATATCACAAACTTCCTATAACTAGTTTTCCTTGTTGAAAATGATTTCATTTTTGAGTTTATGGAAAACCTTCATTGTATTTGAAATATACCGAGCTCGAAATGTCACTTCAAATTTTTTGTTCAGTTGAGTTGTGTTATCAATTGATACACTGAATAAAATGTTGTGATTCGACATCCAACAAATCAGCATTTCTTGTTGTAAAATGGAAAAAATTATTCATCTTTCATAATGATAGTTGCATATCGAAATGAAAGATATTCTACTTACTGTTCTCAACTGGAACCAAAATTCGTCGATAATGTTGAGAAGGAGTGAAGAAACTGAGATTTAAATAACCAAAAGTGTGCGAGTCTAACGTTAATGAATATGGATATGAGTCTGAAGGTTATTTCAAATTCATTTCTGGGGTGATAATTCATTTGGAGATAAAAGTGGCGTAATTTAGATTAACCGGTCCAACATGCAAAACGTTACGTACCCCAATGACCTTGTTTTCTGGATAAAATATATTTATCTTATGTATAATATGCATACCAATTAAAGCAAATGAGATGAATGAAGAAGCACATCGCAAATTTCCAAATAGCTAATTCCATTTTCACATTCACTTTTGTTGAATGTGAATGTGCAGAAAAATGATTTATACAGGGAGTAATTCTCTTAAATTTAATTCGTCACCAACAACAAATATTAACAGCAAAGAAAAAATCTACGAGCAATTTCATTGACTAGTAAAAACAGTCAGGCAGAGTCGAAAATTTCTTGAAAGAGCGTCTAATCAAAATAGGTTTCGGGCAACGTACCGCGTGCTTCGCCAATTTTACGTTCCCTATAATCGTCCGTCGCAATGTGGTGAATAAATTTGAGTTCATCGGCTGCGTTAACGATCGATCAATACACATACGTCGATGAAACAAGATCTGCCAAAAATATTGCCGCTGTCTGTGAGAGTGTGTGGGAGAATCCGAGACAGTTGATTTCGCGTCACTCACGAAAACTCGTCTTTCCGCAGATCACAACTCAGCAACAGAATTCAACTGATCGGGGAACTGAAGGTAAAGGACCAGAGACACCGACGTGTTTGTTGGACGGGCTCTGTAGCAGTTGGCAACTGACACTTATTTCCATCGAAAGATCATCTTCAGCGATGAGACCCAATTCTGGATGGTTGGGTACGTGAAAAAACAAAATTGTCCAATTTGGAACGATGCCAATCCACATGAATTGAAAGAGCGTTCAATGCATCTCGAATGAGTTACTGTTTGATGTGGATTTTGCGGTGGTGGCCTCATCGGTTCTGTGACAACGACGTTAAAGGCGAGCACTATTGGTCGATGATTACCAGAATTTGATAATCTGGATACCAACGATATGATTTTCAACATCTCCTGCCAGATTGGATATTTTGCACGAGCAATTTGAGGGAATGGTTGTGGAGGTGAACTGGCCACCGAGATTGGTAGACTTTTCTTTATGGGATTTTCTTAAGTCGCAGGTATATGCGAATAAACGAAAAACCACCGTGGTCCTCGAATGCAACGTAATTCATACCGTCGGTAGAATTCAGCCTGATTTATGCGCCAGAGTCACGGAAAATTGG